TTCTTCTTCTTCTTCTTCTTCTTCTTCTTCTTCTTCTTCTACTCTCTGATATCTCCCTTATTAGAGCCAGACAAAGAACATTGATTCTCATGCAATTATTTTTTCTGCTTCACCACAACTGGATGATTTCTTTCATGTGTCGGAGTTGGTCCGTTTTTCCTGGCTTGTCAGGGTGTGTGCTCCTTTTATGTGCCTGAATGAGCATGTGTGTGTGCATGTTATCTTCCTTTATGTGCGCCTCCCCTCACACAACCGTCTTTCATGTTTTGAACTTGTCTTTGCTGTTTCCGTGTGAATACAGTCTGTTCTTTTCTCGATGTGTGCTCCCTTTTTTTTTAATAGCAATACAGGAGTATTTTCCCACACCATGCTCAGTTTGGGGTTAAGGGCCGGGGTGGTGGGTGTTAGTATGGGAATGTAGCAGGCAGTGGGTGGAGGTCTGGCCAGAGATTAGCCCTCCTCTGTCTGAGTGATCCCAGGACTGCAGTAAAGGCAGGGCCGGCCTCTCCTTTGCAGCACGTAGCCGTTAATGTAAACACGATCAATACGTTTGTTGTGAGACCTGCACGACTAAGAGGAGAGAGTGAAACCACAGCGCCATGAGGTCGAGATCAAACCTCATTCTCACTGTTTTTCGATAAAATAATCACATCTACCTGTCCTTCTTGTGTGGAGTATCTTTGGCGTACTTTGTTCCACACTTTTGGTTGTCTTTGTATTATTCCATGAAAAAAAACGTTACACTTGGCAGCCTGGCCCCAACTATTGCAGCTGGATTTTGAAGCAATGCAGAAGTCCAGTTCCCGTCAAAGCCCCTGCAAGACGATCAAAGTGAAAAAGAAACCTGAAAAACACCTTCACAAAGTTGTGACATTGTTAAAATTGTCCTTATGTATCTTAAATTTAAATCTGGACCATGCAATTGATTAAGATAAAATTAAGGCTAGTACTTATTGTAGAAACTGTAGTGTATTGACAAGATACCATTATAGGACACTGCCCACTTGTGGTTATATAGAGTTATGACGTTCAGTAACGTGTGTATGTTACGTGCTTTTGTCTACATGAGATAAAGTCCCGCTCTCCACGCTCGGTCAAGTCTCCGTCTGAGTTATTTCCCCACAACAATATATTACAGTTTGGCGACGAGGATGGGATGCTAAAAGAAAGAAAAGCATCCCGGAAGACGAGAGACATGAAGTTATAACAGGCAGATCACAAGAAAGGAAGATTGTGGCACCAACGTGAGTGGCTAACAAACGAGCTAACAAGCTAACGTGACTGCTACTGTTATTAACGACGGACTGCAGCAATGGCTCTCATCGGCAACATGTCGGAATACCGAGAGGGTAAGGAAGATTTTGAATCTTACCTGGAGAGGATGGAACAGTGGATGGCAGCAAATGATGTGGAAGATGAAAAGAAAGTCAGCGTTTTTCTGTCGCTAATTGGAGCGGAAGCCTACGGACTTTTGAAAAGTTTACTCCTGCCGGATAAGCCAAGCACGAAAAGTTATGCAGCGCTCACCAAAGCACTCAGTGACCATTACAAGCCCAAACCACTTGTCATTATGGAGAGGTTTCGATTTCAGAAGAGAAATCAACAAGAGAGTGAATCTGTAAGTGACTATATGGTAGCTCTGAAACACCTGTCAACAAACTGTGATTTTGGAGCTCACCTGGACGATGCTCTCCGTGATAGGTTTGTGAGTGGACTGAGATCAGAGGCAATACAGAGAAAATTGCTGGCAGAGAAAAATGTGACGTTTAAAAGTGCATGTGACACAGCACTGTCCATGGAGATGGCTTCACGCAACACTTTGGAATTCTCAGGAAAAATTAAAGAAAATGCAACAGTCAATAAAGTGTTCAACCAGAGTAAAAAAAGAGATGACAAAAGAAAATCAAGTGACACAAGCTACAGCAAGAGTACATCCTGGCACAAGAGCAGCGTGGATGACAAGCAGCAACAGCTACACCAGCCCTGCTACAGATGTGGAGGTAAACACCCACCTGCTGTGTGCAGATTTAAACAGGAAAAATGCCACCACTGCACAAAAGTGGGACACATTGCACGCATGTGCAGGAATAAAAAGACACCAAAAAAGACTCATTATGTTGAACAGGAGGCTGAAACAAGCCCAGCGGATGAGGATAATGAACACTTGTTTGGACTGTACGTAGTATACACAACTTCAGATGGTAAAGATGGCTATGTGGTTGACATGGACATTGAAGGCCAGAACATTCAGATGCAGTTGGATACAGGAGCATGTGTGTCTCTTGTATCAGAGATCACTTACAAGACATCGCTCGCTCACTTGCCACTTAGCCCATGTAAAATACCGCTGTCTACTTTCTCTGGAGAACGCATCCCAGTGTTGGGGAAGGTGGATGTGAATGTGGAATATGAACAACAAGCAGCCAAAGTACCACTGGTTATTGTGAAAGGCGACCGACCAGCACTACTGGGCAGAAATTGGCTCAAGAAATTTAAGCTGAACTGGAAGGAAATATTCCAAGTCAAAGTAGTAGGAGAAGCTATTGACCCAGAAGTGGCAGCAATCCTACAGAGGCACAAGGGAGTGTTTGGGGAAGGGCCTAGCACCATCCGTGAGTTCAAGGCTTCGATCAAGATGAGGCCAGGTGCGCAGCCAATATTTAGAAAAGCCAACCAAGTGCCATATGCTCTAAAAGAGGCTGTGGAAAAAGAACTCGACCGATTAGAGGCTATGGGAAATCATATCAAAAACAGACAAAAGTGAATGGGCTGCATCCATAGTGACTGTGCCAAAGGCTGACAAATCAATCCGGATTTGTGGAAATTACAAAGTGAACATAAATCAGTGTGTGGAAGAGGAAACTTATCCTTTGCCCAATACAGAAGATCTTTTTGCAACATTGGCTGGAGGCAAGCTGTTCACTAAACTGGACTTATCACATGCCTATCAGCAGTTGGAGTTGGATAAGGACTCAGAGAAGTACCTTACAGTCAACACACATCGAGGACTGTACACTTACCACCGACTGTCATATGGAGTCTCAAGTGCCCCGTCCATCTTCCAAGCAGTGATGGACCAAATCCTACAGGGAATAGAGCATGTGACCTGTTTCCTGGACGACATCTTAATCACAGCTGGTTCGAGAGAGGAACATCTGCGCAAACTGGAGGAAGTGTTGAGTCGCCTGGCAAAGTATAATGTAAAGGTCAAGCAAGCAAAATGTAAGTTCATGGCAGACAGAGTGGAATATTTGGGACACATGGTTGACAGTGAGGGGCTTCACCCCACAGAAGAGAAGGTGAAATCTATTGTAAACGCACCAAGTCCCACAAATGTCACAGAGCTTCGTTCCTTCCTGGGACTACTGAACTATTATGGCAGGTTTATGCCAAATCTGTCCATGCAGCTTCAACCTTTGCATAACTTACTGAGACGTGAAAGTGTTTGGCAATGGACAGTAGAATGTGAGGCTGCGTTCAAAAGTGCAAAAGATCAACTACTGCAGAGCACCCTAGTAGTTCACTATGACACCAGAAAGCCACTGAAACTAGCCTGTGATGCTTCGCCTTATGGTGTCGGCGCTGTTATCTCCCATGTGATGGAGAATGGAGAAGAAAAGCCCATAGCATTTGCATCTCGCACATTGTCAGAGGCAGAAAGCAAATATGCTCAAATAGAGAAGGAAGCCCTCTCTATAATTTTTGGAGTGAAGAAGTTTCACAAATACCTGTATGGGAGGAAATTTACTCTCATTACTGACCATAAACCACTCTTGGCAATCCTTGGCCCAAAGTCAGCTATCCCCACACTAGCCGCTTTGAGAATGCAGCGCTGGGCGCTCATATTGATGGCTTATAACTATGACATAGAGTATCGCCAGTCTGCAGAGCATGCAAATGCAGACGCGCTCTCCCGGTTGCCAAGTAAAGTCAGAGACAGCACTGCTGAGGAAGGAAAGATCTTCTATTTCTCTTTGATGGAGGATTTACCTGTGAAAGCCAGCGACATCGCACAGAGCACAAACAAAGATCCGGTGCTTAGCCGAGTTAGGGAGCTCACTCTAAATGGATGGCCAAGTCATGCAAGGGAGGAGACACTCAACCCATTCTCTATCAGAAGAACTGAACTATCAGTGGAACAAGGATGTGTCCTCTGGGGAATGAGAGTTGTAGTCCCCTCAGCTCTCAGACCAAAGCTGCTGCATGATCTTCACCAGGGTCATCCTGGTATGTGTCGCATGAAAGCCTTAGCAAGGAGCTACATGTGGTGGCCCGGCCTGGATAAAGACATTGAAAAAACTGTGAAAGAGTGCAATGCATGTCAGACAGTGAGACAACTACCAGCAGCGGCCCCACTGCATTGTTGGAAATGGCCAACGCGAGTGTGGCAACGGATACACATAGATTTTTGTGAGAAAGATAAACAGTATTTTTTAGTCCTTGTTGACAGTCATTCAAAATGGTTGGAGGTGGTTCCCATGACAACCACAACATCAGCTAAAACTATTGAAGTTCTGCGCAACATTTTTGCATCTTATGGACTGCCTGAGGAAGTTGTTTCAGACAACGGGCCTCAATTCACTTCAAGTGAATTTAAGCAGTTTCTGAGAGGAAATGGCATCAAGCAAACCTTGGTCCCAGCGTATCATCCCGCTTCTAATGGAGCAGCTGAAAGGTCAGTGCAGACAGTGAAATCTGCATTGATGAAGCAAGTGTTGGAAGATGAGGGTTCTGTTACATTGCAGCATAGACTGGCAAATTTCTTACTGATGTACAGAAGCACACCGCACACTGTAACAGGTGTTTCACCAGCTGAGTTGTTTCTTAAACGTCAAGTGAGGACCCATTTTAGTCTTCTGAAACCATGTCTGGCTGGAACTGTTGAGGAGAAACAACAAAGTCAGAAGAAATACCATGACAAAGGCAGGACCAAGCTGAGAGAGTTGTCGGCGGGTGACCAGGTGTCTGTGAGAAATTTTCGTGAGGGAAAGGAGAAATGGATGAGAGGAACAGTTGTAAAACGACTTGGACCTGTTTCTTACCTGGTAAATGATGGTGTGAGAGAACGCACAGTTCACATTGATCACCTGTTACTCTTGCATGAAAAAGCTGTGGATGACAACAGCTCAAGTGATGATGCTTACCTGACACCAGATCTGGATTCACTACACCCAAGAAGCAGCATCCAGGAGGCAGAACGGAGGATTGCTACTCCAGCACCATCTCACTCTCTGGTGAAACCTGCAACTCTCCCTGAAAGACTCAGCCCTGCATCCTGTACACACTCTTCAGCCCAGTACAGCAGTACACCAGTGAAACCAGCAGAGCCAGTGGCTGTCTCAGTCACCACCCAACAAACTGAGCGCCGCTATCCAGAGCGTCTGCGGGCTCCACCCAAAAGACTGACTTTTTGAAAAGCTAGGAAACCATATCCTTTTTTGGTTCAAGTGCTTTTGATTATTCTAGTTGTTTCTGAATAGTTAATTATTAGTAAAAGTGGAGTTAACTGATGCTTATGAGCAGCTGGAGTTTGAAAAACGGAAAAAAAAAAATGAATGAGACAACACCGTTTAATTTACTGAAGAAGACTCTTTAAGTTATACGAAGTAAATTGTTTGTTACAGTATTTCTAAGCTAATTGCAGTATTTGGAGTTTGGGGGTTAAAGTTTAAAGGGGAGGAGTGTAGTGTATTGACAAGATACCATTATAGGACACTGCCCACTTGTGGTTATATAGAGTTATGACGTTCAGTAACGTGTGTATGTTACGTGCTTTTGTCTACATGAGATAAAGTCCCGCTCTCCACGCTCGGTCAAGTCTTCGTCTGAGTTATTTCCCCACAACAATATATTACAGAAACGCATTAATTATTAGAGAAAATTTGCAAAAACACAAGTGTGTGAGGTGATAGGCAAGTTAAAGGTGGGGTAGGCAGGATCTGAGGACGTGCCAGTTTTGAGGATAAATCTTGAATGTAAACTCTACCCCTCCCAATCAGTTTTCCCCTCAGCTCCTCCTCTCCCTCTGCTTCAGCAAGCCCCGTCCACAAACAGACGCTCCTGCTCGCTCGTATCGTTCTACTTAAATTCAGATATAACGCAGTTAAATACTTCAGATAATTACAAATGGGGCCCAGTCAACGTGAAAGTAAAAAGCATTGGTGCTACTGTAGATGCCAACAGATGACCAGCAAACACAATGTTTGCAGGACTTCTACAACTAGGATAAAGTGACATAGTCCAGGACCCGAGGTCAACAGTTTAGCGGCGCTACAACATGCAGCAGGTCCCATTTGACAAGAAACACTTCTGTTACAGACACTTGGCTTACTTTGTTAAAGCAGATTTATTTGTCCAGCAGAAAGGTTACAGGGTCTGGAAGATCCTGAAGTTTCCCCAATCATTGTTGACCCGGCTTTTTATCTCTTGTCCGGGTGGTCTACCTCCTTCTTAAGTGCCCATTATTCCGCCAGAGTCCAGTATTTACTTCATTTTCTTACTTGTGTTGGTGGTCGTGGCCAAAGGAGGATTCAGACAATTTTCTGTATTTTCTGGTTGGTTTCTACTGTCTGATATTGTAGCACACTAACTTTGTTTGGGCTCCTGAACGACACGGGGGAGCAGCGTCTGCCTCACAACCAATCAGGTTAGGGGATGTGGAGAACGGCTTTGTTTACAGTCAGAAAGATTGGGCCCCTCAAAAAATTTATCATGTTGACTACACAAACATAACAAAACACAGCGATATTGTTATATTCCCAAATGTCATCAATAACTAATAGCTATTGACTGATATTAAAAGCTTTTTTGTGTATACACCACAAAAAAGATGCTTTTTTAACGGATTCCTGCCTACCCCACCTTTAAGAGCAACAAATTACTCAACATTTTTACATTTGAGGCACCACATGGAATGATCTCAGGAGATATTGTAAAAATTGGTAAATAAGATGCACTTTAATATCCTTTTCGTCACCCAAACGTGAGCTACATCTTTTACACTGGTGCACTGGTGTTGTAAAAATTACGACAAACATCTTGCTTATCTTGTTTCTGATCGTCATGTTCACTTTTGTATATCATAAATAATGCATTAATATGAATTTCAATCTGTTTCATAAACATTAAAAAACTTCTCACAGGAGCTTTAATGTATTATTTTAATTTAACACAACCAGACGGTGTGAGTATTTTGGAATTGGGCATGAACAATCGATCTGTGTGTACATGATAACTATCAATACTGTTGTGCTAAATGATGGCACAGATAGCTGGCAGTATAGCAAATACAGGAGGAAGTACAAAGAGCTACACAGCAGCATGGAAACTCCACACTGCTGAACTCAGTGGATGTCTTCATGTAGAAACAAAGTTAAAACCTTTTACCTCTGGGAGACACACAAATACAGACCGTGTCTCATACACTCGCTTAACTTATATATAATTAGTTCAACTTAAAGGGTGAGAGCTTGTAAATAGCAAAACCAGCCAAGCTGTTCAGATCTGTGGCCAACATCTGTTTTAGATCCTCTAACTTTGATTTAACATTGAATTTATCCGTCTGTTTAAAAGAAAAGAAAAACCATCCGAGGATTAAGCATCCCTTTTTGTCGACACTTTCGGGCCTCACTGTTTTATATTGTCCCCGATTGTTCACAGGTATGTCTTCAGTATAGTTTCACACCTACACAAAAATTAGCCATTATTAATGTTATTTTTCACACCTGTGTTATTGTGTTGGGTCAGTGTGAGAAAGAACTGTTATTCCGTACATTAACCCTGAAAAGGAGATCAATAATTAAACTGCAAAAACTGTTAGACAGGTGTTAACATTATTATTTTTTTATCTATTAGTATTCAATTCACTCTTAACCATCAAAAGAGACACTAAATATCATTTCATTAGCTATCCACTTTATCTTCATTACGACGTTTGCGGGTTTTGACGTGTTGAAATACTGTTAGTCCCTACATTTTTGCTTCTCTGACATTTAAGACTTTATATTTGTTTGCAAAACATATATCCTCCAACAGCCAACAATGTGAAAGAAAGACAACCATTTATGACTTCATGTGAGTGTCTGAGAAAGCCAGGAAAGCTCCATCTCCAAGCCGTGGAGTAGGTCATCTCTTATGTGTAAGGTTGGTGCATATGTTCTGAGGCTTGATCCCAGTTCCTGCAGTCACATACTGAAGTGTGCAAAGTGCTTTTACTTTCCTCTTGTTGCTCCAACGTGACTTTAACTTCATCTAACTAGATAGTCAAAGGGGCAAGAAAACAGTCAAAACTGAGAAGATGACTGAGCGCAGGATAATAGGGGCTGTAATGGTAAAATGCTATTGGGAGTGAGATTAGTTAGTAATGTGAATATGGTGTGACACATCATGTGAAAGTGCTTTGAGTGGACTGGAAAAGTATCACATAAAAAACTGTTCATGTACTATTTTTCTTTTTTGGATGGCCTTTCAATAGCTGCTGTCCTTTAAAGATTAAAGCACAAAATAATGAGCAGCTGTGAATAAATGAGTTTTTCCAGAAGTTTTTTTGATTGGCATCAACTTCAATTCTGTTTCTTAAAAGTAGAACAATGTACTTTTCGTTTATTGGATCAGCTGCGGCTTTCCAGTCCCTGTGTGTTTACAGAAAGGCTGAAGAACAAGTCCATTCAAACATTTGAACACAATGTCTTAAAAAAAATAATAAAAAAATGGGGGTGTGTCAATACCATATTTGATATCAGTTGGATATCGACAAAAAAAAAAAAAAAAAAAAAAATCAGATTATTTCGGCCTGCATCTTAAATCTCCATCCAGTCCATTCCAGACTCCGCTCCAGCACCTCTATCAAGCAGCGCCTGGATCCAGTATACAGAGCCCACATGATCACAACATCAGTGTGTACAAAGCTACTAACAAAGTAGCAACCAGAAGGAGTGATGTTGGCCGTGTGACTGTATTTTTTGTTAAAGTTCAAAAAAGATGTTGCAGCTGAGTGCAAACCTTGTCATACACAAGTTTGTGCTAATATCAGATCAATATCAGTCCTGAAGGCTACAATATCGGTATCATATTTGAAGCAAAAAAGTTGTATCGGGACGCCCCTAAACTGTCGTGACCTTACATACTGTGCATGATTGAGATGATTTTCGTACTTATCAGAGAAACTTTTTATCCTTTTATTTTATTGTAATTTTTCAGTCCAGTGTCAGTGCCAGCAGAACCTTACCCTGGGCTGGGCTCCATTTAGCTAGGACTGGTCCTTATTGGCCCTCATAAAGCTCACACTGGGTCAGTGATAAAGCCAGATCAAGTCTCAGTCAAAACGTCTCCTAATGTGTCTAAGGCAGTGGAATCTCAGGGTGTAAAAAGTTTCACACCACCACTTGTGAGTGTCAGCCAGAAAAAGAGGAGACATATTGTCCACAGGTGGAGCTGCTTATCCGTTCTCACTCTCGTGGCGTCTTGTGGGACTCGTGCTCCAACAATAGAAGCTCAGAGGAATCTGTCGAAGCTGCGGCACGGTCCGATCTTTGTTATGTGACTTGTGGGCCCGGGAACATTTGTTCTCCTTCATCCCTCGATATGTGTGGGATGAACAGATCCTTCCCAGGAGAGTCCAAAACATTTGTTTGCTTCGACTCTCTCCCTCGATGTGCTCCATCTTTCTTGCCATCTTTCCTTTCCTCCTGCCAACTGTCTTATTATTCTTTATCTAGTTAATCTCTCTAATCTTTGTCTATTTCTATTTTGTTTGATTTAGCTCTTTTCTTATCTTTTCCTCCCTCTTTTATTACAGTTTGCCTGCAATCATGTGAGTGAGTTCGTACTGAAACACACCCACACTTGCAAGATAACAAGCGTTGAAATACTCACACATGACACGAGGGGATTATTTCATGGAGGAGTGTTGAAATAAGTATTTTTACATGCTTGCCTCTCTGAATAAATACCTTTCACAAAGCTGTTGAGAGTCTAGATCTGAACTAAATTAAGTCGATTTAACATACTGGCTGAAGGTCGCTAATGACCCCCACTTTGGTCCAGACTGTACAGCTCCATCAAACTGTTGGTGGGTACGTTTTCATAAAGACAGTCTGTGGATTGACCATAGACATAAGATACATAGACAGTTAATAACGTGTTGGGAGCATAATCCAGTGTCGCCACCATATTGGATGGGTCCCCTCACTCTAGGCTCACACTAGAGCCAAACGGAGTCAACAGAGAACGAGGAACTCTGGCTGTATTTTGTGCACCCTACGGTTGTAAAAACCTAGCGCAGTATTGAAACCAGATCAAATAGGATTACATTTCACAAGATTGAAAGATCTTTTTAGTTTTTTTTAATGTGTGACAGCATCTTGTATCATAGCTACATCTCTGCCATTTGTAACAAACCAAGTTGTGTGAAAAT